CCAAGCTGGGACAATTACAAGGCGCACCAACAGGTGAACACTGGCCATGCTAAATTGTCGGTTGCTTAACTATAGGCTAGCTCTGCCTACAACAAAGCATATTCAGAACCTCTGATTAAAGGGATTATAAGTGTAGCAACCTCCATCATAGCTAGTCACCAAAGATTGAACCCGAGCCATCCAGACTTAAAAGCACTACTTGAGTTCAAGATATAACTCCCTTAGCTGGGAGCTATACAGTTATCCTCTAAAAATCCACCAGAGGAGGGCACAAAACACAGGTTGGACAGTGAATTACAAAAGTGCCAAATATTATTATTAGACCTGCAATACTTTTCACAATGAACGTCAGCGGGGGATAAACTGGGAGTTTAAGAATATTTGGAAAACAATTTTAGAATAACATTCAGTGCTGTGGTTTAAAAGAAAAAAAACCTGTTAAAACTCATAACTTCGCAGTATTCAGTGTTTGAAAAAAACAACTTCTAGGAGCTATGAATGTTGAAACAGGAAGATGTTATGCTTAGTTACCACTTGGGCAAGGCGGCGTGCTATGTAATACACGTGGGCGAGGCGGCGTGCTATGGAATACTTGCAAGATTTCACTGTAATGTTTTACAATATAGAGCAGCGCAATGCTGATTCCATTGATATCGTTGAGCAATTCAGGCTGATTTTATTTCAGCCCACATCTTAATAGTTTGGAATACTATAGATCACAATTTTCAGCTCAGTTGATCTAAACATGCAGAGCTTTAAAACTGCTATGCTCTAAACTGTATATTAACTCCAATGTTATAAACCTGCATGTCCGAGAACTGTGTGCCACTACTACTAGACAGTGGCACAAGGCAATTCAGTGTGAATCATAGAAATGTAGGACTGGAAGGGACATCAACAGATCATCTAGTCAAACCCCTGCACTGAGGCAGGACTGAGTAATAACAACACTAGACCATCCTTGACAGGTGTTTGTCTAACCTCTTAAGAAACTCCAATGGCTGCTATTCCATAACCTCTCTAGGTAATTTGTCCAGTGCTTAACTACCTCTACAGTTAGGAAGTTTTTCCTAATGTCTAACCTAAATCTCCCTCGCTACAATTTAAGCCCATTGCTTCTTTGTCCTGCATGTCCTGAGTGGGATGGGGGTGAGTCCAGGCAGTGGGATGGGGGGAGGGAGGTTGAGGAAGTCGGTGGGTGTGTGGGGATGGACCGGGGGAAGCAGGGTGGAGGAAATGAGGGGGGACAGGACTGGGGGAGTCAGGGGGGCTGAGGGGGATGGGACAGGACTGGGATGGGGAGAGCAGGGTAGGGGCTGAGGGGAGCATGAATGGGACAGGGTAGAGAGCTGTGTAGAGTGGGACGGGGTGGGGGAGACAATGGGGCTGGGCTGGGGAGGGTCGGGGGATTTGGGAGAGGGACAGGGTCTGGAGGGGATGAGACAGAGGGGAGCAGGATTGGAATGGGGGGAAGTTGACA